CATGCATCTGTGTGTACATGCCCAAGATCCTGGGAGGAGAATGGAGAAGGAACTGCAGTGTGGCTATTCCCCCGGGGGGTGATTTTTCACTTCTCTCTCTCTCAGATATCTTCTCTCCCACGTGTAGCAAGGCAAAACCTCTTAAAAAAAAAAAAAAAAGTGAATCCTAGAGCCTGTTGCTGCAGCCCACCCAGCAGTCTCCCAAGCTGTGAGCAGGAGGAAGAGGGAGTGGACCTGGAGGGCTACTGTGAAGTCACCTGGAAAAGGCTCACACGGAAACACATGAGTAAGACTTTCCCCGGCTCTTCCAGTTCCCCAAAGGCCACTGCAAAATTTCCTTCCTCCTCTGTGCTCGGAGAAGAATGGTACCTGTTTCCTGACACCTGTGACCCCCGGGAGACCCTCAGCTAGCACACCTGGGAAGGTGCTGGAAGCCGCACCATCCAGCATCAGCTCTTAGCCTTGGGGACTGTCCAGCACTTGGAACTGGCCAGTCCAGAGTGAGTGCTGCAAAATACATCAATGTTTTTCACATTCGCTACACACTGAAATATTTTTGGCTATTCTGAATTAAAATACAAAAATATATCACCTGCTTTTTATTTTTTAATTTAATTTTTTAAATTTGCTATAGGATGCATACACTTGCCAGAGGGAGGGACAGGAAGATGGCGAGAAAGCACCCCTCCCATAGGGGCATAGTCATGCCACAATCTCTTTTACACTTCTCCCTGGTCAAGATTTTGGGCATGCACACACGTGCCCGCCTTGTGTGTTTCTCGAGCCACTAGCTCTACAATTCGAATTGCGTAGCCAGCCATGTGCGGTCCAACTCACATAAACACTAGGCCTTGGGTGACTATGACCATTACTACTACTATCACCTCGAGCTCTAATTTTGGGGGGAAAAAAAAACACACAACGTATTAGCAGGCACGTTTTTCTTACCTGGCAAAATAATTCTTAAAAAAAAATTATGCTATATAAAATACTCTGGGTTAGATCGCTCCACTACCCTCTCGATCGACGTCCCAGCAGAGGTGAAAAGACACACATATTAGCAAGTCCTGTTAAAAGATTTATTGCAGTAATACAATAAAAGTTTAGAAAACATTTCTATGACTCAAACTGATTTGGAAGTCACAGAGCAGAAGGCAGCTCCTGCACGAGACGCCGCAAGGAGATTCTGAGACATTCTGAGACGGGGCCGGGCGCTCTGAACGGGATGCCGCCGAACGCTCCTTCCCAGGTGCAGCGCGTCCTCCTCAGTGGGCGCCCGCCCATCGCACCAGTGCCACATACCATTTTCACTCGCAGATGTGCAAAACTCTTCTTAGTTATATTCCACGACGAAAATGTCTTTAGCAGACATTCTGAAGCAGCCTATGTGGTGCCTGTAGGTTTTTATTAGTATTACCTTGTTTCAATAAATCATTGTAAAATGGAAAACGTGACCAAGTTCTATGGCTTTTTATTTGAAAAAAATACCAGCTTCAATTTTCTTAAAAAGCTGTTTACATATGGTCCTGGCACCTACACGAAAGATTTGTAATGAGCAGCAAAGAGTAGAAAAAACAGTGGTTGAAATGTATATTTAAGAATATTTACAGGGTGGATCCAGTGCAAAATAATGAAACCCAGAATATTTCAGCAGTGTAAGCCAGTATGTTGGTGTTCCAAACCACTCCAGGGTTTACTCACTTAACCCTATATAAAGTGCCTCTAGTTGATCTTAACAACAAAATATCCCTATCAATCCCTCAGGTGCCCACACCCTCCTGAGTTTGGGGGAAGTACCCTCCACACACGTCTGTGATCCTTGGATTCTATTCGCTAGCTTCAGCTACATCCCCGGGTTCCTAAATGCCACCCCGAGAAAACCGTGCCTGCTGTGCCTCTCTCAGCTGACGGCCATCTCTTCTCCCAACCCCAAAGCCCAGGCTTCCGACGTGGGGGGCTAAGCTGCCTGCTGAGGTTGCAGTAGCTAGACACCCTTATCCGGGGGATGTTTAAGTTCCCTGGTGTCTGCTCAAGTCTATCACACGCACTCTCCATGAACTCCAGAACCGGATGGCGACTGCAAGCCCAGCAATCACGAACCTGGGTGCTGAAAGAGCGAAGTCGGTGGAGAAGAGCTGATGATGGCAAAAGCCTGCTACCTCCATAAATGGAAATTTGGAGTCGGAGAAACTCCTTTCTGCTCCTCCTCCCCCAGACTCTACTGAACACCAAAGGCAGCGATACCAGAAGCTGTACAGCACCTCAGCTCTGGAGGCCAAGTACCAACTGTGATCATTACAGTGAGAGAAGAGCAAGGGCGAGGCGAACCTCCGGGTGGTGTAGCGGAGGTCCTGTCGTGCCAAGCACTCTTGTGGGACGTGGGAGTGATGCCTGTTAGGAATTTCTCGTAGGACTTCTTTTTGTAATTGTTACATAGGATTTTTTTTTGCAGTTATTAAAAATAAAATACTACTTACACATTTGTACATAATGCCTCTCTTGTTACAGTTTTCTTGTAAGATTGTCACTAAGAGAATGACAAGACACATTAGCTGAAAACGATCTCTTGGTAAGGGAAAAGCTTGGCTCTCTGATCTCTCCCCAGGATAAAGGACAGGCTCAGCTCTAAGGCTCTGCTCTGCACCTGTGGGCAAAGGCAGTGTCCTCAGAGCAACAAACCCTCTAGGAGGCAGGGATGGTTTCCCTGGACACCCGCCACCTACTAAATCGCTTAGAATGGACACCAGAACAATGAGCAGAGGCCACATAATTAAGTGGCTCTTCATCTGTGCCAGGCAGCATCCAGCTACACAAGGAGTAACGTACTTTCACTCACAGGAAATGAGTTCAGTTTCAAAACGCACCCAGTGTATGGTAGGAATCCAATAACCCGAGTAAGGACAAGCCTGGTTTCCCTCAGAATACAAGAAAGTCATTTCAAAACACCTCTAGAGCAGTACTACAATGAGGATTCTTCCATTCATGTATGTCCTAAAGAAAGATCTTAGTTTCTTTGGTGCGGGGTAGTGGGGGGAGAAAAACAGGAATGTCTGAGGAGCCAGGACAGAGCAGCACAAGGAAACGGGCCTCATACTGACCCTCCCTGCGGAAATGACTGCCCTCCGAAACCAAACGCGAATCTCTGATCTAAAAATCAAAGGTGACCAAATTACAAAGAAATCAAGTATCTCAAACTGTCTGCTGGTTCTCTGTACAGAGAAAGATGGCAGAAAAACGAACTCATATTAAACAGTTTCCATCTTCAAGTCCTAGTCGTCAAGAATCACCGTCTTGTGACTCAGCCAAGCTCTGACACTCCACTGGGAAGTCTCAGCGTCTCGAGGATGGACACACTGACCCGGGTCTGTGGGCCCTGCGGCCTGAGACCAGAGAGCCCAAGGAAGTTGCCTCCTCCAGGGTACGTGACCAGGCCTGCTCAACACCGATCAGGCGGGACCTCTGACTCCTCTTTCTATTAAGTATCATAAGCATGTTGGTCACCATCACGGGCCACTTGACCAGTAGAAATGCTTGTCTCCCTGCTTGACAAAAACAAGGCTTAGCCTCTTTCTGTTCCAGGCACTACCTTAACTAAACAGATAGGTTCACTAGAGTCTAGTGCGAGAACTTTCCTGATGCAAGTCTGGCATGTTTTGGTCCGTGTCACTAACGGTGTCCAGTGTACGCTTTAAACCAGGAGGTGACGGAGGCGGCGGCGGAGGAGATCATCCCACCCGCGCTGCTGCTGGCGATGGGTGGGGATGCCTGCGTGCTCTCGCTCTGGGAGACCTCCACGGGCTGGGAAGGGATGTCACAGAACCGAGGGCTCGGCAGGTTCTCCCAGTCTGTGCCCAGGTCAGTCTCCTCGTCGCTGACGCGCTCATCTCCACTCTCATCCGATTCGCCAGCAACTCCGGGATCCACAAATTCCATGGATTCCTCCAGGTCCGCAAGCACTTCGAAGGGTCCTGACCTGTGTGGGACAGGGAGTGGCCTCTAAGACATCACCATGCCCGGAGTACGAGCCAAGATGCCATCTTCCCTGAGAACTTCTGCAGTGGGAAGGGAGAGCCGCCCCAACGCATCCACTGCGCCCCACTTCCTGACGCAGTGCCGCTCTCACGGCCAGGCTATGGAGTTCTTCCCCCACGTGACAGCTGCGTCCAGTCACCAACAGAACCGTGAGGCCACGCGTTCCCTCCGCTCCACCTACTTTATTTGTGAAGACCCAACGGGGAAAACCACCCACTGAGCCAGCTCACCGCCATCCACAGTGTCAGTGAGCAGCCCCAGAGAGCGTGGCCTCCCTCTCACACGGTGTTCAGTGGAACAAGTGATCAACGGCCCACGGAGGGGGCCACGCGGACGGGGCTGCGCGGGTGCTCCCGCCTTAGCAAAGCCCCAAACTAAACACTTAAACTCATAACGATGAACAGTCTGGTCCTTTGTGAGTTATTGCGGCTCCCTTGGGACACCGCCAACAGCAGGCTCCTGTGCACTTTTAAAAATATCACTGGGTGGGGGCAGCAGATGGCGTAATGTTTACGTGCTGGACTCCCATGGAGTCGACTGTGGTTTGAGCCAGTCTGGGCAGCTTAAAACTCACGCCGGACATGTGTGTGCATGTGCCCAAAATCCCGAGAGAAGAATGGAAAAGAAGGGAATGTGGCACAGCCACCCGTGAGATCTCACTTTCTCTGTCTCTCTGGAGAATACATGTGCTGCGCCCTATAGCAAAAAAAATCTCTCCAAAAAATACATACATATTTATCATCAATCATTTTCTAGGGATGCGTACTTTCCACATAATGAGATACAGCCATTGAGAGTAGATTAATCTGCAGTAGTGCATTTTCCACACTACATTTCAGGAGAAAACTAGTTTGATTTCCCACAGCTCCCTGACGACAGCCTCACCCAGATGACACCCCCCTGTCCTTCCCAGGCCTTGTCCTGTGACCACCTCGGCACCATCTGTGGCCCTGTGCCTGCATGTTCCTCCCCCGCCCCTTCAAATGCCCCCCAGCTCCTGCTTCCAGGGAGTCCAGCTGCATTTCCTCTTTGGGGACAGCCCATCCCTGGAGCCTGCAGCAGGGTGGAACCAAGCCTCTCCAGCAGCCTCTATCTCCCTACTGAGGCCCCAAGATAAGCACATGAGGCCCTCCCTTCGCTTAAGGGTTTTGCTGATAACACGTGGAGGAAAGTAACAGGTTAAACAAAAATAACAGGCAAAAATACAAATGATTCGACTTGCACAGCCTGCCATTCCAGTCCCTGCCCAACTGTGTTCAGCCTCTGTCAAGGTGGGCCAAGAACAATCAGGCACAAAAGACAATGCACAACAAACAGGGCATGCCCTGAGCAGGGTCAGCGAAGAAATCAATGTGGACGCAAAGAAATGGCCTTTGATATTCAGGAAGGGCACAAGAAAGCCTACTCAAGGAATGTCTGGGTGCTTCTATTGTATTTTACGTGCTAAAAACATTTTATATTAATTTTATCTGGGAACTACCATGGAAGGACCGTAATAGGTCAACCACGATGAGCCACCACTTCCTTCTATATGGGACGGCACTAATTTTAGCCTTTTTGGAGAGTCTGGGGCTGGGAAACAGGCGTCCGCACTTTGTCTACATGTATAACTCCACTTAGAAGCAGTCGCAAAAACAACACTTAGGAAAAAGCGACAGTCACCCTTACCTGCCCAAGTGTTCCGAGTTCGGACTGACCAGGTACATGAGATTCCTGAGGGTGTGCAGTGGTTGTAATTGATCTAAATTTACATGCTAAAAAAAGCACAGGATCGATTAATATTTTCAACTCTGTAACATCTTAGAAATTAGTTCACAGCGCATTTTCCATACCTGAGAAAAACAAAGGTAAAGGATATTTGCATTCAATTTCTTCACTGCTCGAGTAAATTTCTGTTTGCTGAGATTTTCCCCACAAAATTCACTGTAAAACAAACATATAGTCTGTAAAGATATATTTTTTTGAGAAAATTCTGTGATAAAATGTTCGTTTTGAAGAGTATGCTTTACATACAGTTCAGTATAAACTACACCCTGTGTGTTTTCCTCCTTAGCGAATTGCACTTAATAGAAACTTTCTAAGAGAAAACCAACGGCCTCACAGAGAGCACTCCCGCATCTACACAAATGACCATGCGGACACCCACGGGCCAAGCAATTCCCTTCAGGAAACTCATCTACACAAATACTTGTACATTGATGAAATGATGAACATCTAAGATCATTCCTTGAAACACAGACGGGATTGGCAAGATCTTGGCACTTTTACAGCAAGGAGAACTCTGCAACTGCCTGCTTTCTGAGAGTGACGGCCAGGGGCTGACGATGGCCCCATGAGCCCAAGAGAGGCCCGTGATTTCCTCTCTCCCTCGCTCTTCCCAGGGCTCTGTCCTGGCCATTCTCTTTGCCCG